CTCTAACAGTGAGCACCCACTGTGTGTCAGTGTAACCTAGCAGACCAGGTAGCGATTATAGAGAATAACTGCGAGGGGTTTAGGTGTTCAAGAAATCTGTATGAACTATACAGAGGCACTGAAAGAAAACACACAAATGTAAAGTTAACATTATATGTTAAGAACTACAAGCACCAGGATTATTGAACAATCTACAGATTCTATCTATGGTGTAATATCCATCAACTTCTTTCTTACTCTTCCTCCCTTTCCCGGCACTCAATGGTACAGCAGTCAGGAAGACATGAAGAGGCTGTGATCACAAAACCAAATAGCATCCTGAGGAATCTGTCCAGGCTAAGAAACTTCCCAAGCAGGAAGACTGGTTGCATAGTCAGCAAGACTAGGCTAACATTACTGGAAGGAAAATGGGTATTATTTTCAATCAGGCATATGAGTGCACCTTCATGCAAAACACAGTGATACAAGATAATCCTTGACTTTGGGAAGGCTATAATCCAGTTAGGGAAACAAAAGGAACACATGTCAACAAATTCAGCACTATAATCCCAAAATGGAGCTTATTTAGATAACCAAGAAATAAAAAGGAAAGGTCATGGGGTAGAAGTTTTTGAGGAAGTGATATGAAGGGTTGAGTTGAAGTGAACCTAAAATGGTTTAAATAATCGAAAAGTGCATGTCAGGCTGGCAGTAGCAAGAACATGAATGAAGAGGAAAAGCAACAAACAGGTTGCTTTTTCAACTTGAGTCCATTCAATTACCTCAGCAAACGGAAAGATAAAGGGTAAACTGTTATCCTATTTGCGTTCACTTCACCTCACCCCTCCCAATAAAAAAAAAAAAAAAAAAAAAAAAAAAAAAAAAAAAAAAATCCCCCTAAATCCTGTAAAGAAAACAGATCAAGATTTGGCAATATTTTCCCTTAATTGTAGTCTCTGACATTAGAAAGCTATTTTTTAAGACCCACAGACCTGAACACATACAGGTTATCAATAATAAAAATGTAAAGAGATTTCTCTAAGGATGATTAACAAATTTATTCAGTAGGAGATATGGTGAAAAAGTATCTACCATGCTGATGCAAATAATAATAATAAAAAAAATAACAGAAATTGAGCCCAAGTTCCACTACCAATTTGGCAGCAGTTTCAAAATATAAGTTGCTGTAACTTCTTATCTGCAACCTACCTTACATCAAGGTCACCCCCCTATCACCATCACTGGTGAGAAGCTCTTGTTTTTAACGACCTCAAAATAGCTACTGTAATTTTCTAAAACTAATGATAATATATTACACTTATTTAGCAGTTTGTAGTTTTTCACAGCCACCATATCCACTGGGTCTCAAAACTACCCAGTGAGGTAAAACAGCGATTACCCATCCCTACTTTACAGATAAAATAACTGGAGACCAGGGGTACCTGGGTGGCTCAGTCAGTTAAGCGTCTGCCTTCAGCTCAGGTCTTGTTCCTGAGGTCCTGGGATGGAGCCACACATGGGACTCCGTGCTCAGCGGGGAGTCTGTTTCTCCCTCCGACCCTGGTCATGCTCACTCGCTCTCTCTCTCTCAAATGAATAAAAAATCTTAAAAAAAAAAAATACGTAACTGGAGACCAAATAGGGTAAATGAATAGTTCAAGGTCACACAGCTACTAACTGGCAGTGTGTGAATTCCCAAGCCATTGTTTGTCTCTTTGCTGGGATGATGTGCTTAAAATAAGATCATAAAATCTTATCTAGATAACATAAATCCAGTAATCGTAAAAGTCAGAATGGAAAGGTAAATATTCAAATTTACTTTGCTAGGTGAAAACACTGATTTTACAATGGCTTAGGATCCCCTTAATTTTTAAAATAATTATTTTAGCTTAGCAGCTTCTGGAACTCTAACTGCCAAAAGTATTCTAAAACTTTTAGAAAGTAAATGAAAAACTAAAAAAAAAAAAAAGCCTGTTCACTCACACAAACTAAACAGTAACCATCAGCTCAGCAGACTTAAAAACCACTCAAACTCCTTAAAAAGTGGGAATCGAATAGAAACAATGATAACATTAATTACATTCTACATTAATTACATGGCAATTCTTAAATCCTTATGGATATCGGCACATTCATAGAAAAGCAGATGTGGACAAAGCCCACAAACTCCAACCATGTTAATATGTTCTCTTAAGCGTAAAATAAATGAAATAAAAACTCCCCAATCTCACACAAAGGCACACTAATAAATTAATATTTCTGGGCCTGAAAATGGAGCAGGGTTACTTCAAAAGAAATTTTGTTTACTTTAAAATTCACACTTAGTATTGATCTCTTTGCATAATGAAAAGAAACCTCAATAAAACCATCTGCCAACTGATTGTCTCTAAACCTGATAATGCCATTCCTCAACCTTAACCGCCCCCCTACTCCCCTCCACCCCGAGTAAATGCGACACACACACACACACACACACACACACACACACACACACACACACACACGCCTCACATATAGGCCTCTTGCCTTTTTCCCCAATAACTAGGACCTTTGTTCCAAGCGTCGGTTTTTTGCCCCACTCAATAGCTCTTTCAACTTTCTACCCTATATTTTTTGTTTTGTTTTGTTTTTAGAGAGAAGATCCTCAGCCTCAACTTTCTGGGTCTTTAAAAAATGAAATGCCAAAAATATCTACAGAGACTGGAGAGGAATAGAAAGTTGAACACAGCACTAAAGGGCCTACAAAACGGAGTAAAGCCCGGGGATCGGGTGATTTGGCAGCCCAGGCAAGATCCGGGGAAGGCCGACTAGGAAAGGAGACAGCAGGGGAGCAGTTAGACGTCCACTCAGAACACATTCACTGCGCTATTAAACGTACCCCCGCACCCCTCACACACGAACGTTTACTCACTGACACAGTCCCTCCTTCAATTAACTAACGAAGCAATTAAACTCTACCCACCGCCAGACACGATGCTTAAGCTAACCATCTCCAAAGTAAAACGGCGTTATCAAAAACCAACCAACCTGTCTTAAGGGTTTAGGAGCAGCCTCTTCCGTTCTCTCCTTACCACACAAGGGTAACCAATTCCCTCCCGTCCCCCCAGCGTTCAAATGTGTTAAGTTATTTCCTCCCGATTTGCATGTGTTTTTAAGTCTTTATTAATCTTCTTCCCTGTAGCAAATTAAGGATTTCTGTTATTCTGAGGAAGGAAGCGCCACCAAGGACAGGATTTGGGATTTTCCAACCTTCGTTATTTGAACTCCCCTGTAACTTGTTTCTGAACTAGAAACCCACTCACCATGGAGGAGGATGCAGAAGAGGGGGGAACTGAATGGACAAACGATGTAATAGGTTTTATGTAATCCACATATAAATAAATTAATCGCCTGATTCGCTTTGAATGCTAATAAGATTGGAGCGACAATTGGTCCACCTCCCTCCCAAGTCCTGGACCCCCACCCCCGATTTCCATTCTGATCTATTTAGAAGCATGCTCTGCTCTTCTCAGCCAAGTTTCTCGGCCTCTTTTCCAGCCCCCCTGCATGCCCGTCTCTTCGTCATCCTCACTCAGCCTCAACTTCCCACGGCTAAAGAAACTGCCCAGCGCAGACCCCGTCTCCGGCCTCGCCCGCCCACAACCCTCCCCCCTTGGCAGGAAACCCCTTACTGCGGTCTAAAGTCGCTCCGGCCTCTTCCCTCCTCTGACCCTCGCTTCCCACAACTGTTGTCACTCGAGCTGCTCCCTAGTTTCCATTTCCGGGCCGTCCCCGGCCCTGGAGCCTCCTCTCTCCCGGTTTCCGGGCCCCCCATCCCATTTCCGGGGAACCCTTGCCGTCTTCACACCCCCCACCTGCACTTCCGGCCCCCCACTTTCTCGCTTCCTAGACGCCCCCCAAGCTCCAAAGCCCACTTCCGGCCCCCCCGGCCACCACCGGGCTCCCCAAGACCCGCACGCCTTACCCTGGTTCCGTGAAGGGCCCTCCTCATCGCGGGGGGCCGGAGGGGGAACCCAGCTAACCCCCCGCTCCCGCCCGGCCCCGGTCTCCCTCGAGCGCCTCGAGCGCCTCGCCCGTCAACCCCCAGCCCGGTCCTTCCGCGGCCCCACCGCCGCCGCCGCCGGGAGCAGGCCGAGCGGGAGCCGAATCGCGAGGATGACACAACCAGGCTTCCTGGGACTTTCTGTTCCAGCTCCTCCCCACCCCCCCCGGCCGCCCCCCCAACCCCTCGGCACAACCCCCTCCCCCAAGCCTGGCCCGGCCGCTCAGAACTGCGCCCCAATTACCTAGTTAGGCCCCAAAGTCTCCGGTCCGGACTCGGTGGCGCGGCAGTAACTTCCACTCGCTCCCCCCCCCCCCCCCCCCCCCCCCC